ATGTGCAAATAAAGCATTCATCATTTCATCAAGAACTCATTTCAGGAGCATATGACTGATTGAGTAGCTGAGAATGAAAAGGGGGGTGTGGGGGTGTTGAGGTTACCATCAAAACATCTGTGTCCTTCTAAACGAGCAGCTTATGTTAGGACAATATCTTGATGAAACGAATGCGATCGATAATATTCTCATGCATGCATTCTGCACAGGCACGTTGCTATTGTACAGTGCTCGACTTGGCCCGTCGAGTGATTTGGTGGGAACTTGTCCACAAGTTTGATTTGGACCACCTATCAATCAGATTTAAAGCTCTAATCTATTGGCAGTTCAGCCAAACAATGAGCTACAGTGGTCTCACTGAATCCTCTAGAATTCTTTCTCACCTTGCCAAATTCTAAACTCTCATGTCAGATGCATCGGACAACACTGCATAGTTCTCATTGATGTAGTTTGGAACTCTATCGATGCCCGTATTACTTGTCCACTAACACTAAACATATCTTTCAAAGCAAACTCACCTCTCACACCTCACAGCAAACAAAAAGCAGAGCAAAGAAATGTCAAGGATTTGGTGGGTGGGGGTGTGGGGGGGAGAAGTCACTGCTCACCCACTCGAGAAGTTATGAGCTGATATATTAGTTGCCAGTTGATTTTGCTTTGTATCTTCAATTCTGTTCCTGCGTATCTGCAACACAGGGATTCAAGAGATATTTAGCACGATATAAAATCATCATGATATGACATGTAATTCATGTCACTGTCTGAGTACAGTAAACTCCATGTTAGGATGCATACTATTCATCATTTCAAAGTGGCTTAATGCTTGCTGGAAGTAAACTCAACGTGAGCAACAAATCCTACAACTTTGTCCTTGTATGGTCCAATCTAGCTTGCTGTGGCATGGTTTAATGCGCTTGACATGTTGAAATGTGTGCTTGGCAATTACTGCATCCTAATTCTACACCCATTGCTTCTTGTGGATGTTCTCCATTCTCTCTGAAGTTTCAAGCTTATATGATTCTGCAAATGTCTGCAAGTAATTTACTCACTGAAGGCTGTTATCTGATGATGCAGTTCTTAATTAATCATGTCTCTAATGGTTGACTTTGTGTTATCCCCATGTAAACTTCAGTAGGTTTCATGTAGATGTGTGGCCAACCAAGTACAGAGATCAAACACCTCGACATGGCCATCAGGAAGGTAGGACATCCCTGTGCCCTTCGACATTGCTCATCGAGCAAAAGAAGAGAGCAGGCTGTGAGGCTAAAGATGAATTGCCTGCACACATGCTTGGAAGCTCAGGCAATGAAAAGTAGTATATTAGTACCGACCAAGAAGCAGCTGGCTTTCTTCCAATAAATAAAGTTGTACAGGCAAAATCTTTTCATAGCAGTGGATGTCTTCTTCCATGCTTTGCAATCTACGAGTGTCGCTTCGAGTTTTACCCGATGAACTAGGAGACAAGCTCAGGTGACGACAACTGATGAAGCATGCATGTGTCACATATAAATGCGGGTGTTGCGGTTGAGAAGTTTGGGTTGTCTTGGACTACAAACTTGAAGCTGTAATGTCTGCATCCAAGCTTTGCAATCTATGGGCGTTGCTTCAAATTCTGTAGTACCATTCATTGCCTTCCTTTCGTGGGCTCTTTCGTCAACAGCCTTTCCGAAGAGGCATGAGCCACCGATTTCTCACAAGGTAAATTGCAAGTGGAGGACAAGCTTCACTAATTAGGACCGAAAACACAGGTGTGGGAGTTGCAGTCGAGATGCTTGCTGAAAGTTCTCTAAGGTTGTTTTGGACCATAAAGTCGAAGCTGAGAAGTCTTATCCAACCTTCGCAGCGTAGATTAACTGCTTGCTTAGAGGAGGTGAACGCGCAATCTACCAGAAGGAAAATGCCACGTGAACTAGAGGACAAACTTCTCCATTAATTTGTACCGAGAACACAGGTGACAGCAACTGCGACGGCATATAGGAGGATCACAGATGAACATGGGGGTTGAAGTCGAGATGTTTACCCAAGATGCTGCAAGGTTGTCTCGGGCTGCGAAGAACAGGAGAGAAAACAGGAGGTCCACCACTACAAAACTAGGGGCGCCTATTAATTGATGTTTATTTTAAGTCGGGCAAAGAGATCTGAGCAAGATACGGCTCTTGCTATCTCACATAGATCCAGGAATACCGGAAAGGGACATGTTACCCCCTCGGCAAGGTCTCCTGGAATTAATTCCTCTGCTTAGCCTTCCACTTCCTGCATCTAAGCAGTAGACCAGGATTACGATCCGACTCTGCCGAAAGCCTGGTATGCAAGTATCAGCTCTGATGTCAACCTTCCATGGTGCACATCAACTCTGCAAAGAAGCTTACAAGATTGGATTGTAATCTAACAAATATGTCAGCGTCGATGACAGGATTGACAAGGGGAATCCTGAGTTGACTTCGGAGTGGCAGCAAAACATACATCAGGGAACGAACATTTCACAAGCAAAGCACTGACTGCAGAATTATTCTGGGCCTGCTGCTGAACATTGAAGATGCCAAGTCTCTCTGCATTCGCAGAAAATTCACAGCTGACAAGATGTAGATCCTTATTCTTATTTAATAGATGCACGTTCTTCACGGCTAGTGATCAAATCATATCTGCGAAATGGTCTTATTTCCTGCGATATGTTCTCTTTCGCAGACAATAATATCTCCTAAAGCTATACGGATCTGGAAGAACTTGACAAGTAAAGATCGAGTTCAAGCAGAGAGGGGAAAGGCAAAAGCGGATGTATATCAATCATCATTACTTCAAACGATATTAGTTCGGATTTCACTGCACTTTTCCCGGAATCTGAGTTTATTGCTTCCATTGGATGACATATGGATGAATGAAAATATACATCAAAATAACAAAAAAAAATTCTAATGCACCAAACTCCTACTAAAAAGAACAAAAATCTTGAAAGTGCTCCAACTTTGTGAGTGGGAAAGAGTGGTTGAATAAAAATGTGGCATATTACTGCCCCTCTTTTTTTCCTTGAGAAAAAGGAGATTCTCAGTTAGAAAGAGTAGAATCTACTTTGTACCACCACTTACAAAGTTGCTTTTGGAGTCAAAGAATACTCATGGAAAATGCACGAGAATGATGTGTCGAGAGGACATGGGAAGCAGGATTCCACACTGGCGTATAAAAAACCATCTTCCTTCTCATTGAAATAGTAGTAATTGGATGTTTACCTTTAAAATAATAAAGTATAATATTGTATAATATCAATCCAAAATCTTCTTAACTATAGATCCTATCTTATCCAGTAGATTTGTTTATAGGACCCTCAGAAAGGACTTTTATTCTCCTCAACTAATAAGTTATTTTTATTTTTATCCCTATAAATCTATGTCTTTTAAATATAAATATAAATATATATATCAATTTTAAAAATAAGATATCTTCATATGTATTCCTAGTTTGGGACATATATTCTTGTAAAATCTAAAAGCCAGATATATTTAATTTCCATAACCTAAATATATTCTAAAACTGTAAATAATATTTGTACTCTTTTAAAACTCATTATATAATTATATTAGGTTATTTTATATTTTATATATTTTTTTAAAATTAAATTGTTTAATGTTAACTACAATTAGCCATGGTTGATCTTATGTATTTGGCTGGTTTCTTTACATGAGGAATACATGTATAATCTTAATATTTGGATGGATATTTGCTGTGTATCAATTTTTATAAGAGTAAATACACTATTTCCAATCTTTGAAATTTTACCAAAAAGAAGCCCAAATTGGAGTATGAACCGGCCCATGTATAAAATAATAAATAAAAAATGAATTAAAGAATTTCTTTTATTTTTTCTACCTAAAATTAAGATAGACATAGAAGAAGTAGATGACATGATTTACCTTATCGATTCATATCCATCAGCTATCAAGACGATACGTATTATTGAATATATTTAACATATAGTTCATAGTGGCATTCTAATGTATCACTCATATCGATCGCTAAATAACAAAATAACAAACCTTACTTCTAAACACTAAATTAGACACCATGGAAATGGAAAGGAAGAAATCCCAATTCTTTATGCGCGTGTATATTAATTTTTTTAGTGTGTTTTAGTATGTTCTTAATCCAATTTAATCTAAGACTTATCAAATTTTTTATTAATTTTATGGAGTATGATTTTTTATCATACGATCAAAAACTCTCGAAAACATAATTTCTTGATGGGTTGTATGTGACATAATTTCTGCCTACTTAATAATAGGCAGGACTTTTGATATGAGAATCTTCTATTAATCCAATAATTAGATTGAATCTTTAACAGAGAGATAATTTGTGTTTTTTTTCTTGATCAATAAATGAATGAATGGACGATTCGGTCCAACCTAATGGGACTGATTGATGCAAGAAAGCCAGAAATCTTTATTATAGATTTTGCTCTAATAAATCTATTATAGTGTTTAAATTTGAATCACACTTTTGTGCATAATATGACATACAATTCACTTTAATCTTTTAGTTCCCCACTTATTTGTACTTATCTTAAGGCAAAATTGTAGTGATTCTGTCCATTTAAATTCAAATATTAGAATATATATCCATATATGCCTACAAAATTCATAGATTACAAATGCCATTGTAGTTAATCCTAGATATTGGAATTCTAATTGACTATAATAATTCTCTAATCCAAATTATTTTCTAAACTAATTGATTACTATGATTAGAAGTGGTTATATATATATATAATTTTAAAAAATAAATAATGTAAACGCCGCTATCCTAATAATCCATGTCCGAGCGACGAATTCAAGCATGACTCAAGAAGCGAACTGACAAGACTTACTTGACGTGGCACGAAGGTGCACGTGTCAAGTTGGTCCTCGTTCGTCAAATCGTGTTAACTCGTGTTAACTGACCGCTTTGTTGTGGTGCGCTTTGTTTGTGGTTTATCTCACTCTCAAGTGGAAAAGCCTCAAACAGGTCAAAGGCGGAAAGGAAACCTTCGAGATCCGGTGCTCGCCCCAGATGGCGTGCTCCAACTGCGACCAGTCAACTCTTTCGTGAAGACGATATTTGGTGCAAAAGGCGGCGTGATTTCGGGTTCTTTGACGCCGGATGGCGATAGACGTTGCCGTCCGACGACTCCCCACTCTCATCTTGAATGTGATGTTTCGAAGGTAGGATTGTAGTTCACGTTGCGGCTATTGTGGTTTCTCGTGGACGGGACGACTCCTCTTCTTGTGGTGACGTGTACTGTTCTCCTCCACGTTCTAATTTCTCGGCTTCCCCTCTTTCTTTCCTTCTGCCGGCATTAGAGAATCCCTAAAAGTGGAATTTTCCCGACATTTCTCTGGAAGAGGGCATGACAGCATCTGCGAACATGGTAGCCTACAAAGTTGTGTTCTTTGCACTAGGTTGTTTCATGCTGGCAACCCTCATCTACACCACTGTGACTGATGGGTCACCTTTCCGAATCGAGCTCTTGACACCGTAAGTTCTCTTTTTGACGATTATACTAATTTTGTTTTCCTGTTCAATTGTGATTGGCACCATGTGTAGTATAGGATTATGATAGATAAGGATCTGCATGGTAACAGATCTTGTCATTGTCTCATTTGTAAGGCATGGTGTGTATAATGAACAACAATCTACAATGATGTCTTTGGAGTTAGGAATGACTGCTGTTGTACTTGACGTGTGTATAACTGATCCAAAGACAACTTTTTGTTTATGGAACCCTCCATATCTGACAAACTAAAGCTACATGACTTAGTTAATAGGAGTGACAGGAAGCTGTCGATTAGGATGTGAGGTCTGGTGATACAGATGTTTCTTGCAAACGATGTTGTGAGTTATTAAACTCTTCAAAAGGATTTGATGACACTTGAATGGCATTGATATAATACGTGGGTATTGCTTGAGAGTGGGAACCTAAGGCAAAGAAAACAAATTTGAAACATATTGGATAAAATGGGTTAGTGGGGTATATGGTAAATTTAGATATGGAGGTTCTGTTTCTAAGGTTGTGAATTTAGAGATCAAGAGCAGGCAAGAATGAACTTCTGGACCGAAATATTTAGGAATAATCTATGTTCAACCATTATTATTGCATATGCAATTTCATGATTAACAATTAGTGTAGAATACATAACCTAATTGCTTTTCATGACCATTTAGTTGGACTAGAAGCACACGGTTAACTTAAAGCATAATGATTCTCAGAGTAACTTTTAAAGCTAATAACTTACTAATTATTTCTTTGCGAGTTTTCTCTCTTTTGTTTGGTTTGGACTTTGGACTTATTAGTTTCTTTCTTCTATATTCTTTTATCTTTTACACCAATGTTCAATGTAATCAACAATATCCGTTTTCCGTAATATGTAAGTAGTGGCAAAAGCAATTTGACTGACTCAAAAAATGAAAAAGAAGAGAAAGGTTGAAGGACTGAAAAGAAGAAGATGAAGGTCAAAGTGAAAGAAAGGCAAAAAAGAAACCTGGAACAATGATTTTGGGATTAGAGGAGATACTTTTGTTATTATTTTTGTTATTTTCTACAATTATCCAATTTATTGTCTGCCACCAATGTTGATGTTCATTGTCCATCACTGGGAAAATTAAGAGGAAAGGATATTTAAGAGTAATCCCCAATCTATTAGGAAGTAACTATATGATGGTAGAAAAGAGAGATGTTTTGAGATTTATGATTTCATGATTAATATCAGATTTTGTTAATGAAGTTTTTCTTATTTGTCCTTGCATTACCTAACACTTAATCTGATGGTGCTTAAAGAAACATTGTGATTACAGTTGGTTCCATCACTGTATGCATAGCTGCAGTTGAATAAGTTTTTTAAGTCTCCTCTATTACATATGTATAATAATTGCCTATTATAAAAAAAATCATTGTGTGATTTATAAGAATTATAGAATAGATATGTTGTTTTTTTTTGTCATTTATTGTTATATTACAGGGTTTTGTGTTCTGCATACCAATTTATGTCTCTTTTCAACTTAAGATATTTTGAGAAATTTGAAGGTAATTTTTTACATGTATAATTGTTATTGTTTCTCAAATATGATTTATAAAATTTTCTAATATTTTTTTAATGATTATTCCGAAATAATTTTTTTAAATATAGAGGTAAGGTTGCATACATTTATCCTATCCAAATCGTATATTAGCGGGAACCACGTGGATTGGTTTGTCCCTATTATTATTATTTTTTAGTCATTTATTTATTTTAATTTAATTTTCTGGGTTGACTCTGAGCTGACCAACATGGACCATGTTGATTCCAATTGATCCATTTCCGGTCGATCCTGACATCAATTCTATTCAGTTCTCTTTCTCCATTAAAAAATAGTATGATGAGTAGCATTTTCTGCAGACAAAGACTAACTAGTGACTGCAAAACGCAAAAAACAAAAAAGAAATTGTATTATCATATTTCTATTGCAACAGCCTTACGGATTATAAGTTCAACCCTTGTATTTTATGACATGCATAGACATTTTTCTCAAGTTTCCTTTTAATTAGATGATCCTGTTTTTTAGGGTCAAGAATTATGCTTCCCTTGTTTTAATTAATACCATATCATTTTACATAGGGAACACAATAATATAGATATAGCTAATATCTAAGTACAAATGCTTGGTCATTTAGAAGTGTCTAATATTTTTAGACTGAAAACTCTATTCCAACTTGGAAAATATATTGTGGACTTAGTGTACCATGGTTTACATGTTCACAATGTTTGTTTACATGATTAAGCAGTGCTGTATATATCGATTATTACATAAGTGCATGAAGTATTTGTCAACACAAATATGACTCATGAACTGCATGTTCTTGTCCATATCTGTATATTTATAATTGTGCTTCATTATCTTGTTTAGGTGGATGGTTGCGACGTTGATTGATTTTTATGTTAATGTTGTGGCTATAGTGGTAAGTCCCACAGCTTGATGTTATCTAAAGAACATTATTCTACTTTGCCTTTTTCTATATTATGTTTCCTTGTCATTGAAGCAAAAGACAATAAAAAATTATTTGATCCTATCTTACCGATTAGTCACTTATTGGTTATTAGTAAGTTGGAAATATACTCAAGATTAACTGCAGAATTTACACTACTATTTTTCTTTGTATACAGAAGGGACTAATATGTAAGGTTTTGACCCTTTCTGATAAATTTGTGGGATCTGGAAATTTATGAATTTGAGATCTTGTGATTTTTTGTTTTTCAAAATCTTTTGTGTGTTACTTTTTAATCTATCTTATTTTTATTAAGGTTTAGTTTATAGGGAAGACATTTTTACATGTTGCATTGATTCATACCAATCAATGATAACTAATAGATAATTTCAGCCTTTGGATTCTTCACGAGTTTGCAATATGCTTTCTCTACTTTTGAAGTTTAAAATTGTGATTGTGAAAATAACTTGTGCTCTAATTTATCACCAACTCAATCCATGTTGATGACAGTAATTTTGGCATGCTCTATGATTGAGATATGTGGAAAATGGAACATTATCTCTTTCCATGTTTTAGAAACAAAGGATGTTGTAGATAATCCAAAACTTTAGGGGTCTGCTAAAAAACTAGAAAAAATGGATATTACCAGATTATAGTCCACATGAAGTGCAAAAAGGAAACAAGTTGTAAGAACAAAAACTGAAGTAAAAGAGGATCAACATGGATAGGCTTCCGTATGTCCAATGCTCAATGAGATGAAAAGGAAAGAAAATATTAAATTACAAGACATTTTCAGTCTTTTGTTTATTTTCTGTTTTCAAACATGGTAGACTGCAAAAGTTGAATTGAGAGGTCTCTTTTTCTGCTACACAATTGATTTCTAAAAAGAAAAAAACTTTTACTTTCTATTTTCTTTGATGCTTTCTTTCTTTGACATTAAAAGAAATGCAAAGAAAAAAATTCTCTTATTTTGGTTCTTCTTGGTCTCGTAGGCTTTAAGTAGTGAGTCAATTGCAATGATTTAAAAACCAGATGAACCTGTTTGCACTGATGAGTATTTATTGGACCATTAGAAACAAGACGCAAAAATTGACCATTACCTCTTGCTAACCCTACCAAACCAGGCTTAGTATCTGGTTTTAATGACTAAAACCAGGGGTATCGGATAGAAAGCCTACCACTCAATACCCACATCTTTTCTGTACTTTTTAAAACTTTGGCAACTCTTTATTTTTTTTAATTTTTCCTTCTTTTCCTCATGTTCCTCACATTCTCCCTTTCTTTCTCTCGTTGGTCAGTCTCCCTATTTTCATCCTTGCACCCTCGCCACCATCATTTCACCACCTTGTCATCGTCATCCTGTCGCATCACTGTTTTCTCTCCTTCGATCCAATATGCCTCCTCCTTTTCCTTTGCTTCTTCTCCTCTTCCACCATCACCTTGTCCATCTTCTCTTCATCTGCTTCCTTTTTCCTTTTCTTTCTTCTCCTTCTTATTCTCTGTCATTGTCCTCCTCCCCTCTTCTCTCCCTCTTTTCACCAGTATGCCAGCACACCGTTTGTTGATGCATAGGTATATGATGGACCCATATTGGTCTGACTAGTGACCGGTATGGGTCTTGAACAGAAACTTGAAACCTTGGTCAGTTTCTATTAATGACCGGACATATACTAACAAATTGCCTAATGATAAATGTTTTTAGTTTTCTTCTTCTTTGTAGTTTAAGTTGCTTTGTTTATTAGTGTCATAATGGGGATAGCCTAATGCAAAAAGCAAATATGATTTGTTACAATTATTAGTTATAATAGTTTGCAGTTCACTAAATAGTCTTGACTCTTGAGCTCATACATTGTGACAAGACTCATGAATCAATATGGTTTCAACTACAGGTGAACGCATGAAAAATGGAGTAGCTCATACCATGCAAACTAATATAAGTTTTACATTTCTGACACCTGTAATGCTTATAATTTTAGTGTTAATTATTCAATAAACTAAAATCCAGTAAAAATGTTTAAAATATAAATGGTATGTTTATCTACAAAGTAACTTAGTTACACTTAATGTTAACTAATTGATAATTTAGAATGATGCCTTAATGCATGAACATCTTGGCTTTGCTCGTGCCCATTGTCTTGTTGATACAAGGATTCATAACATGCTTTCACCACAAGGAAGGTGACATGACTGCGTATGAAATAGTGCCAGCATAGATGTTTGGGCTCACAAGTGTTGTACATGGTACATCTTGTATTGTATCACTTCCGCATTGTATAAGTGGTCCCCTAAAGGGAAAGCTTGACATTTTGTTTTTTACATGAAAGTGGAGGGAATGAGAGTTTACATATTGGTTTGCTTCTTGTTGTAAAACCATTTTTGATATGAAGCACTTTGGAGCTTTTGCCTCCATTTTACTTTAGCATGTGACATCATTTGTTCACCTAAATCTGCATCCATATTTCGTTCTAAGTTCTAACAACTCAAATAACATTCTAAAATAAACTTAAAAAAGTAATTTTGGGACAATGATAACAAATTCTTTTAATTGATATTATTAGGTGAGGTCAAGATCCTGAGCAACAAAGAGTTTTACTAATTTCCTATGTGCTCGGAGATGGGTATGGGATGTTGAGTATGATACCGATCCTTGTGCCCAAGATGATCATTGCTCTAACATAGGATATGTGTGTACGATCTAAAAGGGTTAAAAAAATATATAGGTATGGTATATGGGTCCAAATTAAAATATTTCAAAATATAATTTTGAAATATTTAAAACTTAAACTCTATGATTATGCATTTGTCTATTTTGGTTTCTAGTACTACTTAAGTAACTTGAAATAATTTGACAATTCTAAAACTATATCAGATCTAAATATGGGTTTATTCTGAATCTATTTTATTTTCTTCTCTTCTCTTTTCCTTTTTTTCTTTCCTTTTCACTTCTCTTTTTCCTTATTCACGTTGGTTAACTACTGCTGCGATTGTTCTTCTTCATTTCTTCCTTGCTGGTTGCAGACTGGCTGGTGGATCAAATCAATGGATTCTGGTTAAATCCATCTGGTTATGAGCATGACTGACCCATACCCAGTACCCAGTACCCAATATCCGCTCCGATGCTGTGTAGTTTTGATTTAAGTATGGTGGGTTGGACAGAATAGTTAGAACATCATAAACAATATTCATTATAATTTAGAGCATTTGCTACTGGAAGTATATATTTTTTTGTTGTCTTAGAATAAAAATAATATAGAAGTATCTAGACAAACATTTAGATCACTGAAACTACACAAGATACTAGTTAATGGCTGTCATGATCCTAATGCTAGGTCTATTGGCTCTTGTGACATGTCATGAAATAAAAAAGACTTAAATGACATTTTAAAACAGATGTTTTAGCAAGAATGTTTTTCTAATTAAAGAGAATTAGGTACAAGAAGGATTGTGTGCATAGGACATGAACATTTTTGCTTACCCAACACTCATCTAGTGAGCCAAAGCTGGAAAACCATCTTGTCTGATAGTAATACCTGCTGATGTAGGTTTCAAATATGATTCTGTTTTTAATCTGTAAAATGTTGTGAAGAGAACAGATAATATATCTGCTGCACAGCAAGGCTACAACAAGACAGAAATAGTCGATCATTAGACTGTAATGAATTGACTTGAAGGACTCAATTACAGGAAATCAATAAAAGTTCTTGAATCAAGTATATGTCTAACAGTTCTACTGTTAGTCGATAGTGTTATTTTGTATGTCTTATCGTCATGTTTAATCGCTCTATAATGGTGAACAACTGAACACATTCTAGTATCCTTTAGCTTTTGATAATTGGTCTAACAACCAAAATAGTTTTGTAACTTTGTTAACTATTAAGTGCTTTAATGTTGCATATCCTTGCTGCATGAAAGAGCGTACCTATATCAATATGAGACTTCTTAAGATGAAATTTGGCTATTTCTTTAATGCAGACATGTCTTGTATTCAGAATGTTGAGACTTCAAATAGAGGCAGTTGTTTCCAGAATGATCATTGTAGGCTTTTGTGAGAAGCACTAACTTTTAGAATAAGTGTGTTTACAGGAAGAGAACTTTTTACTCATCAGTTTATCCAGAAATCTGTGTTGTGTCTACATGGGAAATTCAATGCAGCCCAATATTTTAAGCTCTTATGATATGTCTAATTATATACATGGTATTTTTTCTTAGCAAATATATTGCATCCAGTCCAAGAATTTGTTGTTCTTATACTATCGTGTTTTTTGTATCATGGTAGGCTTGGGTTGCATACAAAGAACCAACCTGGATGAAAGCTTTTTTCTGGGTGATTCTGTTAGTATGTTTTGGCAGGTATCTTTGTTTCATATTTGGTGCAAAATCAGTATCACTTTCTCTATGTCTGATTTCATGAAACATTGAGATTATATATTTTACTTAAATTTGCTGTAATAATGATTATTGTACCAATTTGTTGATAAGTAAATGTTATCTTTTCTACAGAGCTAGGGTTGAAATACCAGTTCTGATAACATAACAAACTTGTACGGTATTGGTATAGCAGGGTACCATTTGAAATAAAACAATTAAAATCAAAATTAAACAACATTGTATTGGTATCGAGCTATATATTTTATTACTGGTACTTAGTTGGACTGGTGCATAGCATTTGGTAGGTACCAGTCTAACTGAAATTTAAATTCTTACTTAAGAATTAAGTGTATATATGCTTTTTTTGAGTGATAATGAGATCTCACCATATAGTCATGTTTTCCCATGATTAAATGGACACATTGGAATTTTCCTTTGTTATATTTGGTTTTCAAACAGCATGGATGTTTGATTCTTATTTGTTGCCAATATAATACTTTTTTTTAGTATCTTTTTCTCTTTAATGGTAATTATCTATATTCTGGAATACTTGTTTTTTTGGAATTACCTATCAGAGAGTGGATTATGAATGGATATATTTCTACTGCAATAGTCCACTTCCCCTTTCCATTAAAAGCATGTTTTAATATTATTCTATGAAGATCTTTCTGTGCACCTCTCTTAGTGTTCTAGTTTGGAAAGTCATTGTTCTACCTATATTATGTTGAAGTATTCAAATTTCAAACAACATATTTGGTCTTCCATAGACTTGGTGCATCATGAGCTGATACTTTCTTTTCTTTGTTTTCCTTTTCAGCTTAGCAACATGTGCTTATATCACTCTGAAACTGTTCAATATTACATCTCAACATCTACAAGATCCTGTAAGCCAACTCTTGTTGAGGTATAACATCAACTTATTTAGAAGTTTCTCCTATTTAATTCTAATGAATCATACAGAAGTTTCCATGCATGGAACCTCAAGTGTTGGTAGTTTGACTTCACTTCTACTCTATTTTTTTTTTCTTTTCATTTTTGGGAAGTGGTGGTGGTGGTAGTCGTGTAGAGCGGTCCTGCTATATAGGGAGGGTTGAATGTGTGCAGTCTCACAAATTAAGCACATTGAAAAGGGCTTTATAAGAAATGCAAAGGATATAAGTGAAATTTAGATGCAATTGTTTGAGATAATATTATAAAATACTTTTTGAGTGCAAAAATGTAGCATCAGTTTTTGCTAATTCTGTATGAGTCTTGAACCTCCAAAATGCAAATATGAATAATCTTGGCTCCTCTCAATAATTTGTGAAGGAAAAATATAATAATGTGACAGTCCTCGTTAAAATTACCATTAGAAAAATTCCAAGAAGAACCAAATCGAGGCTTAAGACTTTTTAGTACAATTATTCTGTAATTTGCAATTCATAATGTGGTTGTGGCACGAGGAGCTTTTTACTGCACATTTTCCTTGGTGATATCTTTTTTTTCTTTGTTTTGTTTTATCTATTATTGTGTATATTTCTTTTGCATTCAGGAAGGATCATGAACATAATGTCAAGTGCTCTTCTATTATGATTGGGAGAGTTCTCTTCAGCACTTTGGGTATAGTTGTTTTAGTAGTAGTTGTTTATACCGTAATTACGGATGGACTTCCTTTCAGGACGGAGTTGTTGACACCGTAAGCATTTATCTGCACCTTCTTTTTGTATTCCTCTTCCTAATTAGCTTTTAATGGTTTTTCTACATGTTTTGACAAATAAATAATCTTTAATTATTTCTTGACATATATATGCTTGACCTGCAATGTAATGTTCAGCACTGCAGATAAATTTTTTTTATCAGTATTAGTAAAAATGTTAAGATGATGATATTTATCTTGATAAGCTATCTATGGAAGCAAAAATAAATCTCTTGATATGTTTAAATGTTAAAAATTATATATTGTTGACAATATGATTGGTCATCATAAAGAACCTAACATGTTACACTTTACTGATTAAACTATTAAACTGTGTTGGTTTAACCAGATGCAAATTTACAAGCATTAGTTCAAGTGTTTTGAGTCTTGGTCTGGTACTGGTTTTGGTAATCTACCGAACTGCTATGTTGTCAGTGTACTGGTGGTACATTGACCTATATTACCTGATATCAGTAGAAGAAATGATTAAAAGTTCAAATATTAATTGGTGTTAGACGATATGTTTAGATATTGGTCCTTGTGCCGACCGATAAAATATCAGTCCATATGCACCGCATTGATTGGTATTTGAAATCATGTGCAAGATATCAAATATGGTACCAGACCCATACGGTCCTTGGATGAATTGGTATGGTTTGATACAAACTGGTATACTGTTACATGGTATGCCAACCTACCAGTTGCCACAGGTTTGGCTAGTCCGGATCAACCAGATCCAAATAAGAAACCATAGTTTAGGATGAACTCTACCTAATTAGAGTAAAAATAATTAAATATAAGTGGATTTTGGTTATAAAATAATGAATAATTAATCAAAACAAATTTCAGAAATAAATTACAAACTTTATTGTTTTGATCAAAACAAGTTTCATCACCAAGAAGTTAACCTATTACACTATACAGATCAAAGTATGTTTTCTTCATCTTTATTAACCTATGTTGGTTCCTTCATATGAAAATTTACAAGAAGTTCAATGTTATGAATCTTGGTAGTTGGTACGGTACTGGTTTTGGTGTACCTCAAAGGCCTGCCTCTAAAGTGTATTTTGTGTCTAAATCAACCGATTTTGGCCTAAACTAGCTGACTAAGTCACCAGTTTATCAAACTAAATTGGTTATGATAATTTTTAATGTAAAACTTGATGAAATCTTTCATGGGCTAAGGTATCAGTTTGACTTTCCCACTGTGCAAGCAATGATGATAAGGAAAAAGACCTCGACAGGGTAAGGTAGAGAAAAAGGAAGAAGAAAGGTCAGTTATTTCATCTCTACCCTCCTTGTTTTATGTTAACTAATGCAGGACATGATCCTGAAGGGGCTCTTATAGCAAGATACATACTCATATTTTCAAGGATTTTATAATGGTGGAAGAGAAAAGACGGAGGGAGAAGATAATTCCTAGAGTTATCCTTATTCCTAAGTGTCAAACAAAGAAGTCCTGGCCTTACATTTGATGTGCCTCACATACAGATGATAACTCATATCAGTTGCACATGATGAGAGAGAGTTAAATTTTGACCGATTCAACCATGTCCTTGAATATAATCCTTTCTTCCTTTATATAGTTTTGCGAAGGACAAGAAAAGGAAAATTCAATGAAGAAATAATAACTTCTAAAATCAAGCACTAACCAGATCAAGCATCCCATCTGTTATTCGAGATTTTTTTTCAGTGGCATAAAATTCAAACTAAGAAAAATATAAAAATATTTTATAAAGTAAACAAGATATATGCATTTTTTCCTGATCGATACCAATCAATGTTCCACCAGTATGGTGATACCGCACTGGTTTGGTCGGAAATAGATGGGTTCAATACTTGAATCTAATTCCTTGCTTATAATGACAACTCAATCAATTATTTCTCATAATTGTTGCACCTCATGTGTCACATGAAATTTCTAGCCAATGGTAGCTCAACCCCTAAATATATAAGTATTACACAATTTTCTATGAGCAAAACATCCAACAGTGGACATAATTTGAATTAAAAGAGGGTTCCTGTTTTCTTGTCTTGCATCTGCGTTTAAAGTTAGATTCTCTTTTACATCTTAAAAAATTTCATAAATCCAGCTTGATTCATTTTAGATTTGTTATATTTGCTCGTGTTTTATATTGAATTATGCTTTCTAATATGAATTATGATTGCTGCTTTATAATATATGCATATATCTGTCTTTGACTTGATTAACTCCTATAATTTGCACGTCAAGGTTCTTTAATCATAAATCTTTAAGAATTTTAATAAACAAGGTTCTAGTGATGTTAGCATTGTTATGTCTTCTCTTGTTAGATATCAAGATATGCCTACTAAAACTAATGGTAGAGTTGTTATAAAACCTTTATAGGTGGATGGCTGCAACCTTAATTGACTTCTATATCAATGTCTTTGCTATATCGGTAAGTCAATGTCTTACATGACTTTTGCTGAACATTTGTGACATTCTAAGTGTTTTTTAATTGTAGATATGTGTTTAAAATTCATTACTATCCATCTTGAAAGAGAACCTTTTGAGAAATTTGGAAGTTAGGATCGTTACTTTTCTAGCTGCTTGGGTTGATACAGAACTTGACATGTGTATAAGTAAATGTATGCATGAGCAATACACATTTTATGACTTTCCAGATGCTGTATTGTAGATCTTGTGTTTGGATTCATGCACTTAAAGATTGAATTAGGTATTAAATATATTTTTATTGGAGTATATTACTTTAATTTTTGTTTAATGAGACCACTTGCATTTAAGAACCTAATTATCTTGTTCTTTTACCTAATTATCTTGTTACATGATAGTTTTCATTCCATAAAAAAATGTCAAATTATAATGCAGAAACATATCCATGCGTCTAATTCAAATACAAGATACCAAACAAACCTGCATCTAGGGGTGGTAAAAGTATCTGGTCCAACCCAAATAAAGATTTGGTCAAACTGAAAACTGTCAGACCAAAATGTATCCTAGACCTGCTTTCCAGATATATTGTTCAAACCCTGAACTTGATTCTTTTCCCCAAGCTACCCAAACTAACATGGTTGTTGTAGTATTTTCTGAAGACTACTCAATTTGACATAGTGGATTTCACTATTGCTATGGTCTTAGAGGATGATGATGGTACTATGGTGATATAATTTAACACCCTCAGTTTTTTTGCACATCAGAAAGGGTGGAGATTTCAATTGGTTTCTAAGGGTCAGATAGATGTACTATTATTAGCCTGAGCTTAGTTATGGTCTGATGTTTCAGGTATTGGAACTGTGCCTATCTCGACCAGGCTGATACTAACTGACACGTGCCAAGTGTATTGACAAATGGTATGCCTGCATGGGTCAGGTGCCCTTTCAAAGCCCTTAGAAAACCCTATTTTGTGGATGTTTCCTACCTAATATTGTCAACATTTATATGATTTAAGTGGTTCAAGTCTACAATACAATATATATTGCATTTAAACATGTCTTGGTTCCTTTCTTTGTTGTATCTCCGGTAGGTCATCTGATTTCTCTTAAAGTTTTGCTTAAAAGATTTTGCTGGAAACCAACATGAACAAATAAACTCTTTTCTTGTTATGGCATGAAATAAGTGTTGCATAATCACTTTACAGTCCCAGAAGGTCCCTGCCAAGACAACATTTAAATTTTAAAGTTTAAAGTTTAAACTGTACTGAGGTTATTGATCTTGGTGATGTGATTACAATCTTGACGGCATATTATGGCTTTGTTTTAAATAGCTGATGCTGATTTTGTGTATTGTTGATTAACAAAGCGCCTAATTTTCATGAGATAATTGTGTCAAATATCATGTCTCAGTATTAAAGTTGCAAAGCATGTATGCATCAATTTGAAAATCTGATCATGTGAATTTGCACTTTATGGCTGCATGAAGTTAAGCTGTATTAGTCTGGTTAACAGTGGCTTCACAATAATTTATAGGTTACCTGAAACTTTTGTGTAGTTATCTGTTAATTGGTTTTGTTTGGGTAAATGAAATTGTTGGTTCTGAAGTTGTTGAGCATGTATTTATTGTACAGTCTGTGCAAATGTATACTTCTCTAGTAATCCCATTTTTACAGAGAAAAAATGATCTCTGTTATTGTTTACCAGGTATGGGTTGTTCACAAGGAGTCAACTTGGATCAGTGCATTCTTCTGGATCTGTTTGTTGATATGCTTTGGCAGGTATGTATCTGAATATAAAGGTTTTTATTGCCATTACTCCTAAATCCTAATCATATATTAGCAAAAAAGTGATGATATCTGTATGTATAAATTTCTTTGCATTAGGTAAGTGTATAATAATCTGAAAATAAATTACCCAAATAGTGAACGATTGCAACGACTTTCCTATTGTTTATTGGACGTACTAGTCTCCTTTTGATATGATATGGTTCACATATCATACCATACCTGAGTCTGAGTGTAACACCCTGATTAGTCCTATATTGGAAGTGGACAAGACTAAGATTGGCTTATAAGGGTTTGATGGGTGTATTACTATTAACTTCAACTTAAGCATTTTGACCAGTAATTTAGGTTCAATGAAGTTGACAGGCCAGTTAGTCCATCATGCCCAAGTCTTGACAAATGATATCAGAGTCGACTTAGTATTAGGGCATCGTGAGTGGCTCGAGTAGGAAAGAGCTACCCGTGAATAAAGTCAGAGACTCGTCATGGTGTGGAGCCACCATTGGACTATGACTCACATGCACTATGTTAGGGTTTGATTTGGGCTATGCTGGGTCTTGATGAGGATATCAAGCTCTTGAGTGGGGGAGATTATAACACCCTGAATAGTCCCATATTGGAACTGGGTAAGACTAAGATTGACTTCTAAGGGTCTAATGAGTGTATTGCTATCAACTTTAACTTAAGTATTTTGACCATGATTTGAGTTCAACAAAGTTGATGGGCTAGTTAGCTCAGTAGGCTCGACATGCTTAATATAGCTGGGTTTGACTAAGAGTGCTAGATCAAATGACAATTTCTCTTCCACTTATATTGACTATTTTGGAGGATTACACATCACCTATAATGGATGTCTAATAAGATGTATATGATTGTTTGGGATAATAATAACATATCATGAGTACAATATCTCTATAAAAAATAACGTTGCAATAACTTAATAAGTCAAATAAAAATTCACAATACATCTTAACATGTTTCAAATACAATAGATCAAGTATTCAGAGCAATGAAATCCAACCTTACCATTATAGAACCACCTCAAGATCATGTTCGGGGTTTGAGGGCTTATTGGCAACTCCATCGGATTCTAATTATATCTAACATATTCTTGGTACTGGTTTTATATTATATTATTCAGATAGATTTAATGACTACTGGTTAGTGTACATGGATAAACTTTAAAATTCTGCTAAGTAATAGACTCGATCTAAGATTAGTTGAGTTTGAGTTGTGAACATGTATGAACCTATGCCGAATAGTATTGACTTATTTTATCATATCCATACTGAATGGTCAGGGATTGTTGTACCACCCGAAATGGTATGGTTTCGGTGTACGTACCAATTCGGGTGTGGACCGATAAGCGGACCACCCCCTTTCGGGCGATCTACATTAAAAAAATAAAAAAAATAAAAAATGATGGGCCCCAATCCATTTCAGCATTAAAAAAAAGCATATTAGGGCTCTTCTAGCATCCAAAACCATGACACTGCCTTTTTGCCGCTGCAGCGACACTACCTCTTTGTTGATTCGCCACTACGATGCTACACTGGTGTTGCCTCTTCATCGCTTCACCACTGTGATGCTGTAGCAATGCTTGCCTCTTCGACGCTTTGCCGTTGCGATGCTGCAGCGATACCGCCTCTTCGCCGTTGTGATGCTATTGCTTCCCTTTGACGCTATCGTTGCTTCCATGGTATCACTGCACTTCTCCTCCTTTTCTCTCTTCTTCCTTCTTCCTTTCTCCTTCCTCCTATATTCCTCCAATGGACCTTCCTCTTCAACCTCTTTTTCTTCCTTGTCAAAACATCGGTATGCACCAACGTACCATGTGTCGGTACACCGGTACGGAGTGACACGTGCCATGCCGTCGGTCGGCCGACACACCGGCTCGGACCGGTTAGTCAAACCTTGATTGGTATAAATCCATATTGGTTGTTATTATATTTTGGAACAGGATAATGCCATGGGTAAGTTGGTCGACATCTTGATATTTCATCAGAATGGTGCATATTTCCTATATCAATTTTCACTACAATCTATAACTGATTGATTATTAAAATATTATTTTATTTTAGTGTAAGGGTTACCCATACTTTACTTTCCCCTAAAACATCACTACCCAAAGGATTATGGAAACAAAACTGAGAATAGCCACTAGAAGATTGTTGTTGTCTTATCGATACTTAGTACCAAGGTTTTTAAACCTTATCGTATCGTTCGGTACGGGCAGTACGTACCAGTCTGCCAGCAGACCGACACGCGGACCGCTCGCTACCGGGCAGTACCAGGGGAGGACATCCAAGCGGAGAAGGGCGACCCAGCGAACCACCTACTACCGGGCGGCGGCAGCAGAGGAGGGCGACCAAGCGGTGGGCGTCGACACGGAAGGTGATAGGAGAAGCAGGAGAGAGAGAGAGAGAGCATGGGGGAGGGATAGGGTTGTGCGTCTTGAGGTCGGACGGGTGCGTGGGAGGGCGCCTGAGCTTGTCAGGAGGGATGTGATGGCAGTGGAGGAAAACGACCAAGCAGTGACATCGACACAGAAGGTGATGGGAGAGAGAGAGAGAGAGAGAGAGAGAGAGAGAGAGGAACGGAGAGAGCGAGGGGGTGGGATGGGGTTTGTCTCGAGGCCGCTCGACTATCAATGTTTGCATACGTAAAGTAAATATGATAGCCATGCAAATATTACTTATTAGGGTGCCGCCTTTGTAAGAGTTCAGATTATGTCCAAGAAAAATATGCTAATATGAGATGTAGAATAGCTTTGCTACCTTCTTTGTTGTTGATTCCTCCCACTTGCATGATAGTTCTGGTGAAGGCATTATCATTAGAATCTTGGTGTACCGCTCGGCATGTCGATACCGTACTGTACTAAGCAAGACTCGATACGTCGGTACGGTACGAAATTAAAAACTTTGCTTGATACATTCAAAAAGAGCTTCTAGCTTTGAAAATCTCTCACCTTCTGATTAATCTCCCTCCATTTTTTTAATACTCTTTGTAAGTTGAGAAACTCCGCCTATAAACCTATGAAGTGAATTCCATTTAACCTTTGTAACTGACCCATCGGATTTATGTGTCTGGTTTACATACAAATATGTTGATTTGTTGCAGGTTGGGCTAGGTTCTCATAAGGACACCTCGACTCTAGTCATGGACCTTCAAATTAACACATGGTAAATGTACTCAAGATCATAGTAGCCTAAACAAAGTTTCTAAAGCCAAAGGACTGAGCCCACCACCGAAATGTCTACATCTTAGGTGTTAACCTGACTGATAAAACCTACTTCTTAAGTCTGGTCGTCACCCATCCTCTGCAAAATCTAACCTCCCATCTAGATGACCTCACCCTCTCATCCACACCTAAATCTTTTGACAACAATGAGACTATAAAAATGAAAGACAGTTGTGGGAGATGGTGAGTAGAAGAGCGAAGGCAGAAGATGGAAGGGAGAAGAACAAATGCAAGGTAAGATGCCAGCAATATCTCCTGAGCTGTAATAAGCCTCTCTAACAGCACATCATCAACATGTACCAGCGAACTGGGAAGCCAAGCCACTGCTACCTTCATGGCTGGATGATAGTGGTGTTGATAAATACTATTCCAATGGGTCTATGAATGTTTATAAACTTTAAAGGAGTATCTATGACATTATAAGTTTGTGGAAATGGAACTATGAAATTTGACGTTATACTTTCAATATCTTCTTCATGTGCATCAAAGGATTGGTAATCTGTTGTTTGTATTATTTCCTTATATTCATTACTGATATTGATGTCTTCATTGTTTTCCTGCTTCAGTATCACAACGTGTGCTTACATTGTCATTCAACTTCTCCGGCTCTCATTGGAAGATCCAATGTACCATGTTTTGTTGGACTCCCGCAGCAAGCATGGAAGTACATCCGCCAAGTAATTTTCAAATGCTTCTGGGCAGGTCATTCACTTTTTCTGTTGGCCTTAATATTGTGACTTGCTGGAATTGCTTAATGTCATCATTGATCTTATCTGCCAAAACATTGACAGAAACAAAATTAGCATAAACTTATAAAGATTTAACCAACTTGTGCATTCATATTCATGGGGTGCTGTTGTAAAAATTTAACCGACCTAAAACTTCTGTTGTGCAGTGTCCTTTGTGATATTTAAACTAGTTATCATTGTCTGGGATGATAAATGAGCTGCCGCATATGGAAGTGTTTGAAAATTTGTTGAATGGTCCTGTTAAATGAGTATCTTATAATTTGTGACTAAAGAAGAGAATGATGTTAGTCAGCTTTTGTGCTACCTCTCTGAAGTGTATTTATCAATTTTACCAAACTTTTGTGTTACTAAATTTTCTTTAAGTTGTTAAAGAAGTGAATTGTTTTGAAACCTAATTGGATCAGGCAACTCAGCATTTATTATATATTGAGGAATATAAGACTTGCGACTGTTTGTATAAATGAATGTCTTTAAGAAACAATTAATGAATCTCTATATGGTTATGTCAGTTGTTAGACCTATTTACTAATAAACTCTTCTCCTGCACTCTTGTTATCCTTCTACAGGAAGGATTAGTTGGCTTACGTGTATGGAGTGACCGGCTGCGGTTTGCCTCGTTTGTGTGTGTGTATGGAGTGACCGATTAAAGTATTTAACTACAAAATCTGAGTCTTCGGAATTTTCTGTTGCCAATCAACTGATTTGTGACTGTTGAAAAAATGTTCATTATTACGGCATCTGGATTTGTGACTGTTAAAAAAATGTTCATTCTTTTCTTTTATAAACCTGCATCTGGACATGTTTGATCATTATTTCATTCGTCGAACATGTAGTCTGTTTAGATGAAGAAGAGCTATCTCAACTTGCCCTTTATACTCAATTACCTTCTCTGGATGCTGCAAAACTGTTGCAGCCAATGGATCTATCTTGATACCCTCCTGCACAGCCTTTGATGAAGCATCAAAGTGGATTCCAAGTGAAGACATACTTAGCTTTTATGTTTCATTTTATCAACAGTGGACTGTGACTGATTGGAATTAAAATCTTTAAAGTGAAACCAAATGAAGAGATGTCATTTGCTTCCTCTTTTTCAATGCTCATCAGTTTGGTTGCAGTGTGCGAAGGTGATAGTATCATCAACTATAGCCTTCTTTCTCACCTGCAAATTCTCATCAATCCAAGAGGACTATCGATTGGGTGTTGAACTGCTTCCCAACTTCATTGTTTCGTCAGATTCTCATGTTATGAGTTTGATGCAACTGTTTGAAGATTTGGCTTTGGTTCCATGTGATTTGACACTATAAACTTAGGAGGAGTATGCCTTGCCATGAAATCTTGTCCAACTTTGACCAGCAATGAAGCACTTGAAACAAAATAGAACACTTGAACTGTTACTTCAGTCCTAATCAATCTCTTCATGTGTCTTAACAGTTGTTTTTATGATCTGCACTATAGGTTATGAAACAAAGCAAACTTAATTCCTCCTTCACCTCCCTTCTATTGAGACAAAAGTTTTATGCAGGGTAATTACCTGCAAATTTCCCCTGCATAAAAGTTTTGTACCCTCTGTATGCTTATCTTCTATCAATCATCTTTCATAAACAGAGCCATCAGTCTATGCTTTCACTATTGCGATCAGCAGAGGCAGTCTTGGGGGTGGGAAAGGCCAGTGGCGGCTGGAGGAGAGGCAGGTTGGGCTGGTGGCTGGAACTCGAACTGCTCGACCTGTTCAAGTAGCTGGAGGCGCAACCATTCACGGCGGCTGAGAGCTGTGCAACCGCCGAGGAGTTGAAGTGCCCTCCCAACTTGAGGAGGTCATGGCTTGCACCCTCTCTCCCAGGTTGGCCGCCCACGTACGACGTTATGGCGGCAGCTATCGCCGACTGGAAGCTGGGATCCGACGTGATGGCCTTCGCGATTGTGTCAGTCAATGCATGCTGGTTTGGAGAAGGAGAAGGAACAGCAGTAGTAGTAGTAGCAGCAACTGAGTTGATGGCCTTCTGTAGGATGGAGTGATAGAAGGAGTCCTGAGATTGCCTACCGAGGCTCAGAGAACCCGTGTTGGAGCCCTTGTTGTATGCTTGAGATGCGTAGCTCAAGTACCCATTGCTCCAAGATGTTGGTATGGTGGTAGACTCCGAGGAGAAGTTGAAGCCTGTGGAGGAGTACCTCGGGAATCTGGTGAACTGGTTGAGCTGGGATGTGGCCGAGGGTGGTGCTGTGAGATCGAGTGTGATGGTGGGATAGGAAGGAGTGGAAGATATCGAAGGAATTGGGAGATAAGGCTGCCTCGCATTGGAGCTGCCTAACATGCCAAAGTTGAGGCCATGGAGGCTGGTGCTTGCTGCGGCCGCAGTCGAGGAGGAACACAGCGGTCCGATGGCTGGTGGTGCCATGCCTTGTCCCGAGGTCGACGAGCCGGTCATCAGCATGCTTGCGGCGGCCGCGGTGGTGCAGGCCATGGTGGTGGCTGATAAGGGTAGAGGATGGTTATGGGTTCCTTCGTAGGTGGTGATCAGTATCGACATGTCTTCCGCACACCTTTGCACCTGAGAACATGGATTTTGACAGATTGAAGTGCACGATATTTCTCATTCTAATTATGATGACTAAGAAAGATATTAAAAGATGGAGAAGGAAGTCAACATCAAGGATTAGGACGGCTCAGTCGTCAGGATGAAGAGAAAGAAGACTAAGAACATCCACCTTCCGAAAGCTAATAGTGAACAACAATTATACACTTCGAAATAGAATCTAAAACTGAATGGTCTATAGATTGCGTGTACGTCTGCATCCAGTAATGTGTCCTCCTCAACTAGTCAGAACGTATATGGAACACTTCTCTATTAGGATTTGGTCAGAGACCTTCCGATGCAAGTTGTTAAGAGAAAATTCTAATGATAAGATCAACTTGCATTATTATCAAACCAATATAAACTACAGCAAATGGATCACACTATGCCAAAGCAAAACCCTAACAAAGAAGCAATATAACAGTGAGGAAAGATGGGAGCTTACCTGCTTCCTCACAGGGCATCCTGGTGCCACCGTACAACGGTAGTACGCTCGGGGACATGGATTTCCTTTGGCAACCTTCTGCCCATACTTCCGCCACTGGCATCCATCATTCATCTGCAACAAGAACAAAACATCATCCGTACATGTAGCGGCTCATAATCCTGGTGAGAATGTGCTCACTGTAGTGAGTACACACGTACCGTTGGGGCATCACATCTTGCTCTCACGGAGACACGAGCTTTCTTCACTTGGGGCTGCTGCGAGCCCTCATCATCACCATTCCTGGGATTCTTCAGTATCTTGCTTGGTGGCCATGGCTCCCCGGGCTCTTCTTCCTTGGGGTCATCAGAGCTGTTGTCTGGGCTAATGGTTGACTCGTGTTCATTGGGACTCTTTCTGGTTCCTTCAAATTTGCAGTCCAATCCAAGAGTTAGACCTTCTCCGTCTTTTCCACTATCTTTACATGTGTTGATCTCTTCCTTCTTTTGCCCAGTTGAACTGGTGCCAAGGCTCAGAAGAACAAGCTCAGGTTCTTCCACACCATCAGGCTCTGCTGTCTCAAGAGCCTTCTTGGATTGCTCTTGCTGCAGGATATCGAAGTACTGCTTTTGCAGGTACTGGTAGTCTTTGACGATTTGGGCTAAGATCATCTTCAATCTTTGGTTCTCTTCTCTCACTTCACCCATTTCTGATTTAGTGTACTCGAGTTGCTCTTCCTGCAAAATACCATGAGAGAACAAAAATGACCTTTTGAAGATCATATGATAACACTTCAATTAAGGATCCTACAATTTATGTCTTCATCTGCATCATGTTGTTTGTAAATGTATGCAAAAAAAATTCAATTGATTTTGATGCTTCATAGAGCTGAGTTCACTCTATAGAACTGAGTTTTGATTAAGGATTTTGAATGGTGTATTTCATATTATACATAATCTATCTTCAGATTGGCCTCTATTTTTTTGGTTGGTCAGTGATCATAAAATCCTTTCTACAAAAAGAAAAGGTTTTGCTGTAAATGTCTACATTAATCCTCCACAGAAACTTTGAAATATACAAAAAAAAAAAAGATTGCAAAATTAGTACAAAATATAAGGTTTAATTGTGATTCTGCATGATGTATATAACCTTGTGAAAAAGCCATATATATTGGCCATAAGGATATGTTTAGTTTTCCTTATTGATTGCACTCTAAATCTGAGTACTGTTTGCATGGTGGACATTCTAACCTGGCTGGTTGTAATCGATTCCTTGGTGTTGGAAGGAGATGGTCTTGAGATTGCCTCCATGGGTGATCTTTCACTTGAGGTGGCAGCGGAAACCTGTTAGAGAAACACTGGTTAGAAATCTCTGCCAAGAAATAGGGCTCAATTTATTTGAGGGTTTCATCTATGTAAATTGCTGGTTGCACAATTGGAATTTGGTCTTTTCGTCTCAAAGTTCCCCCTCAAAATAAATAGATAAACAAAGAAAAATCATAGTAAGTTTTACATCATCAAACAAGAATAATAATTTATCATAGCTTTCTCTGGATACATGGAATCTAATGGTGGCCTCTTGGAGGACCAGCTGAAGATTTTATTGTCTTGGAAGCTATGTAATTATATACTATCACCATTGGGACTCTCAATCATTTATCTTCTCTAACTTAGGCTGTTAAAACTGTGGAAGAACATCAAGGATTCAGAATATATAGAGATGTTTTTCTTGTATTTTGGATGAAAAGGCAGGCAGTAACACCAAAAATTTTGGTGGTTTGCCATCTTCAGATGAATTATAATTGAATTAAAGGAAACAATTAGAATTAACATGGAACAGCACAGATGGACTATTTGTATAATAACAGAGAACTGAGAGATCCATACCTACTTGTTTGGAGAAGGAGACTTGGGAAATGCTCAGTTGATGAATGATCATGGAAGAGTATTTAAGGTTCATAGGAGTCCATGAAATTTCCACAAGATGAAATGAAAATTCTACAAAACGAAACAAACAGCTACGATAATGATATTTCAACGCATGAACAGTTCAATGATTTCATGTTCTAGAGATGCTCCGAGGAAAAGTCCAAGTTGTCTTGTCAGGAATATGGAACAGTCGGCTAAAAGGACTGAACTGGACATGACTGTTAGCCACAAGCTGATATCAACAAACAGAAAGTAGAAGACAATACTGCATGTTTCTAAGTGAATACATAAAAGAGGAAATGATCTTTTGTACTTTGTTCTTCCCTAATGAATCAAGAACAAAGATACATAAGAGGGAAGAAGAAGCCAAACCTTTCCAACCTCTACAGTACCCTCTTCATGAGCAGGACAGATCTCATCCTCAGCAGCAGGTGCTTTGAGCATTATTACCTCCATCGGAGGCAAACCGGCCGCCCAAGCAGTCTCAAGGTTCTGTCTGACGTGCACACCGTTTCTCAGCTTATAAAGGGAAGCCTCCTCTTCCTGAGTTGCTTAAGACGACTGGATCTGAGAGCTTATCTAAAAGGCCATACATCTCTCGACGTCAACAACAGCTGCAGAGGTCACCGAGGCAGCAGACAAAAGAATTGAAAGGGGTTTTCAACGTTTGCGACGTGCATGTCGTGAGGCGTTAGGTCAGTCACCGGGAACCTTCTACGTCCTCCCCCGAGCCGCAGTCCGTAGGGCCATTTGAAGCTCCTCCGCGGCTCCACCCTCCTCAGTCCATTCGTCACATGGCGTCTCCGCGCCCCTCGTCAAACCCCACCACCACCACACAGCCGGTGCCAGATCGCGTGGGCGTGGGCCCCGCCTCTCCTCCACGGCCAGTCAACCATCGGCGCCGTGGACCACCACCCACCATTCATCCATGGAAGATGGGAGCGGGAGGGACCATTGCGGAAGGTGTGCGTGACCCACGCATGGCGGTCGTAGGAATCCTTCTTACTTGTGCATCATTTAACAACAGTTCTTGACGTAGATTAGGTTATGTAGGGAAGTCATAAAAGACTCTCAAGATGTTAATCTTAATCATCAAGTGATATGATGAACAGGCTTTAAGATCCATGCGAGGACGTGCAGTTGACACTCTATTATTATGAC